AGGGGAGGAGAGGTCACCAGCGGGGAGGGAGCCCGGCGCTGGATTAAGGTAAGCTGCTGAAGGGGTTTTAACCCCTTCAGTGCCACGGGAGGAGGAAAGGAAGTTGCCTAATAATTATGCACACCTGATATAGGGTGTTGATGTCATTAGACCACACCCCTTCTCATTACAGAGATGCACATCACCTAATATGCTTAATTGGTAGTAGGCTTTCGGGCCTATACAGCTTGGAGTAAGACAACATGCATAAAGAGGATGATGTGGTCAAAATACTCATTTGCCTAATAATTCTGCACTCCCTGTAGTGTCAGGAAAACCGCTTTGTTTTCCTGACACTATAGTGATCCTTTAAGCTTCTATGATTTACAGTAGACCTGTGGGAGTTGTTATATAGTGTGAAGCAATCACACTGTCTCTGCTCATCTTGCAAGGAATTTCCTGTCTGAGAGGCTGTAAGTGGGCAAATATGAAGTTATCCCTTCCACTTCCTGTTTGGTCTCACACACACAGACACTGGAGGAGCTGGGACAGCACTGAGTTTTACACCCTCTGTAACTGTTACCACAGCTCTGCTATCAAACAGGAGGCTAACTGGACTGTCTTCAAAAGACACTGGACAAGGCTCCTGCTATTTATCTCCCCCCACAAGCCCACCTAAGCAAAAAAAAGTCACATAATAAATTAATGTAATAAAAGAGTCGGAAATTCAAAGTACTGTATATTTCAAATTTAAGGGCAAAGTAGTTAAACTGAAAAAAACCTCTAAGTTAGTAATGCTTTCAGTAGGCCACTTTGGCCATGAATTTGAAATTCTCTTCGATTGAGAGTCAATCACAGTGATTACATTGCCTTAAGGAACACTTCAAGGGTTCCAATCATGGTGCTCTTACTGGCTAGCGGGCAAATCTTGCGGCATGGCCCGTGGCCTTGGTCGGAGAAGCGGCTTATCTCCAGGCTTGTTCAGCACACTTTGTTGGCTCCGCACTCCTCCCCCATGGGCCAGTGGGGTTACCCTGGCCCCCACCAAGGACTCTTTTATACCACAACGGTCTTGGGCAGGTGAAAATCAAGGCCTTCAAGATGGCTGCCACTGACACAGCAGTACGGAGGCTGGTGTCAGAGCAACCCCTGCAACAGAGTATACATTCTTGGAAGCATTTCATGCCCCGTGTGCCACACTCTGGAATGCACATCGACAGCACCTGCTCACCGCAATCATTAATTTATTGAGGAGCCTTGGTTGGTGGATCCCTATTGACATATGTAATGGTACTGTGCCTGCTATGTACTCTTTATCTGGCTATATATTTTTGTCACCACTGTATTGTGTTTTTTTCATGCTTTATGCCTCAATAAAAAATATGATTGACAAAAAAAGAAATAGTGCCTCCTTTCCGGCTGGTGATTTGGAGCTAGCGATGTGATTGCGTCACTGGCTCGCTCCCTTTACCTCCCTCTCATCAGTGTCCTGAATTTCAGTACGCCAGAGTTGCTAGGTTTGCCTGCATGGCATTCAGAAATAGTCCGGTTTTGCCAATCGTTGCAAAATTATACATGTATTATGTGTTTGCTTTTTGTTTACCAACAGTAAGAAGTGAAATAGTCCAGTTTTGCCAAGAGTATCAAGAATGTTTTTCAAAATATAGTTTTGACCACCATTGACCAGTAGTGATGTCCCGAACTGTTCGCCGAACGGTTCGCCACGGACTCCAGTCAGCTGACACATTCCAGCCAATCAGCAGCAGACCCTCCCTCCCAGACCCTCCCACCTCCTGCACAGCTCACTAAGAATGCAGTTTCAAAATGGATGCTGTCCAGGAGGTGGGAGGGTCTGGGAGGGAGGGTCTGCTGCTGATTGGCTGGAATGTGTCAGCTGACTGGAGTCCGTGGCGAACCGTTCGGCGAACAGTTCGAGACATCATTATTGACCAGTATATATTGTTAGTCACCAGGTTATTAACTGACAATACATACTGAATGTCATTGGCCAAAAATCGGTTAATAATTAATTTCCCTACTCCTGTATATGAACGAATATAGTAGGAAGTGGTGTGTGCACAGTAACATAAGATCTGGCAATCCTAATTGTGACTTGGAGTTTGCTGTTCAGTTCTCAGTTTAGTGTATATAAGCCCTCAATGAATAAAATGTAAAATAGTCAATATGTAGGCACTTATTACATAAACAAAATGGAGAAAAAAGGATCATCCAAAGACAAAGATGTCAGATTGCTGGGTGAATAGCACAGTATTCTGCAACGTAACTGTCATCACTTTGTGGGTACATGTCATATAATGGTTTATTCACTAAACAGTGTATTTAAATATATATATTTTAGAATTCTTTATTTTTGAGTGTGGTGCGGCAATATACATAAAGGAAAGCATGAGTAGCCAATATAACCACATTTTTATTTTTAGATTAAAGGGACACTATAGTCACCTGAACAACTTTAGCTTAATGAAGCAGTTTTGGTGTATAGAACATGCCCCTGTAACCTCACTGCTCAATCCTCTGCTATTTAGGAGTTAAATCCCTTTGTTTATGAACCCTAGTCACACCTTCCTGCATGTGACTTGCACAGCCTTCCATAAACACTTCCTGTAAAGAGAGCCCTATTTAGGCTTTCTTTATTGCAAGTTCTGTTTAATTAAGATTTTCTTATCCCCTGCTATGTTAATAGCTTGCTAGACCCTGCAAGAGCCTCCTGTATGTGATTAAAGTTCAATTTAGAGATTGAGATACAATTATTTAAGGTAAATTACATCTGTTTGAAAGTGAAGCCAGTTTTTTTTTCATGCAGGCTCTGTCGATCATAGCTAGGGGAGGTGTGGCTTGGGCTGCATAAACAGAAACAAAGTGATTTAACTCCTAAATGACAGTGAATTGAGCAGTGAAATTGCAGGGGAATGGTCTCTACACTAAAACTGCTTTATTTAGCTAAAGTAATTTAGGTGACTATAGTGTTCCTTTAAACATATGGCTGAAAAGCATTACTGAAACAAGAGACTGAGTAGCTATAGAGATAGACAGCCTGTAGATGCCTAACTGTTATCAAAATAAAGAGTAAAAGTGTAGCAAAGATCGACTTGTGCACTCTGCCCATAGGTAGTGTAAGATTGGCAAACGCCAAACGGTGCATACTAGGGCACATGACTTACACCTGAATAGGAGAGCTAGATAGAGGGGGGAAATATTGCAGGCCTAAAGCAAAATAAAGTATACAGAGCCAGGTTAACTATATTAATTGTAATAATATAGGAATGTTGTTAGACTGCTTCATGGAGGGAGCCTCTCTGCCACATACATGTTGCAACCCGGCACAAAGGGCATAATAGTGCCAACATTGCATTGATAGCGTTCCTTCGGCAACACTGAGTGCCCTGACAGTCCCAATCAGTGCCAGAAGGTGGGAGCATCAGCCATAGATGAGATGGTGTAGGTCTTGTCATTGCAGTCCACCAGCAGCCGCTGGGGTCCCCATTTGTAGAAGATTTCTTTCTCTCTCAATAGTTTGGTCAGCGAGCGGAAGGACTGTTGCCACAGACCTTTTGGCCTGGAGAAGTCCTTGAAGAATGTAAGTTGCGACCCTTCGAACAAGGTGGGGGAATTCCCAGCAGCCTCCATAAGCATAGCCCTGTCCTAGTTTCTAAGGAACTTAGCCAGCACATCTCTGGGTGCCTCCCGTGGCACCCTTGAAGCCATGGACATTCTGAAACAACTTTCCAGGGAACGTAGCTTGGCTTCCTTAGGGCAGGGCTTGACAAATTTGCTTGGAATCTAGGAGCCAGCTAGAAAAGTTAGCGGCCAGAGAAATGAATGCCAAAAATACAATTCTTAAAGAGACACTATAGTCACCAGAACCACTACAGCTTAATGCAATTGTTCTGAAGTCTATATCCTGTCCCTGAACGCTTTTCAATGTAAACATTGACTTTTCAGACAAAATGCAGTGTTTACATTGCTGCCTGGTAATACCTCTAGCGACAGTCACTCAGATGGCCTCTAGAGGTGCTTCCTGGGTCAGTGCTTCACAATGTGCAGCACCTACATTAATGTTACCTATAGAGATGCATTGATTCAATGCACCTCTATGATAAGTTAAATGGGAGCAGTGGCATTTTTCCGTGCATGCGCAATAGTCTTCCAATGCTTTCCTATGGGGAAGCATTGGATTGGCTGAGATAGTCAAGATTGATAATCTCAGCCATGGAGGTGGGGCCAGCCGCAGCATCATCAGCACGGCGTGGGGAAAAAAGGCGAGTAAGACCACTCACAGACATACAGACACACACACTCAAAAATAGACACTCACAAGTAATTACGTTATTTAAATCCACCCAGCCTCCTTACTCTTGGAGAACTGGAGTGGATAGGCTTTCTCTGAGGTCCAGTGGGGCTGCTGTCATGATCCCTAGCTCCCTCTCGCACACTGTTTAGTGAGCCGGGGGCTGGAGTGACATCATAACCCAGCTCCCGGCATCACTGCAAGCCGCGCGAGGGAGCCGAGCAGGGAGATTCCCTTGCCGCGGCATTAAGTAATCATCCGCCTGCCTCCCTCTGCTTTTCTTTACCCGGTGCCCCCTCCTTCAGCCGTCCACTTCCCTCACCTCTCCATGGGTTGGCCGCCCCCTCCCTCCCTCAGCAATAAGTTAGCCGGCCGCCCCACTCCCTCTTTCAGCCGCCTGCCTCCCTCTCACAGCTCTCCGTCCCTTACGTCTCAATGAGCCAGCCGGCCCCCTCCCTCAGCCCTCCGAGATCCGACTGCCCACCTCTGCTCTCAGGCAGATGGTCAACTCAGGGGCTAAACAGGCTCACAAATCCCAGGTGCCAGGACAAATTTCATGGTCGCCATGGCGACCTGGCGCCTGGCATTTGTCGAGCTCTGGCTTAGGCAAAAGAATTGTTGCAAAAAGTCTCCGAATATAGTGTGGGAGCTCACCATTGTTGATGCTCTCTGGAACCCCCCAGATGTGTATATTTCGGGTTTTGGCCCTGTCTTACAATGCAGTTACTTGGGCAATCAGTGCAGCTTGATTTTTCTGCATCATGTGGAGTGCAGAGTCTGTGGCTGTTTGAGCCACTTTGATAGCCCCAGTGTCCTCCTCAACAGCGGCTACGCGGTCTGTAATGGTAATCACCTCCTTTCTGATCAGTTCCATATCTGCATTAAACATCGCCTGTATGTCCTTTAAAAGGGCTTTAATGTCAGCTTTGGTGGAGGGGGCTTCATCCCCTGGAGTGAGAGGCTGGGGTGGACTGACCCTTTTGCTTAGAAGATCTGGCAAGTCCTCATCCAGACTAAATTCCTCAGAGGATTCTGATGAGCAGGTAACCTTGGGTGCCATCTTGGATTGAGTAGGCCTCTGTGTTTGGCAGAGCAGTGCTCCTATAATCACAGGAGCCGGGATCCGGACAATGTTTTTCTATTTTTCCTCCCCATAGTCTGTGAGTGATAATCCACACCTTTATGTGCAGGAAGAAAGTGCCTACACGCTGGGAGAGGTAATGCTTCAGCAATCGGTGCGGAGCTCTAGACACACAAGTCCGTCTCTGTTGGGCACTGGCTCCGGCCCCTCACTAAACAGTGTATTAAAAACTAAATTGCAAACTTCATGCCAAAAAAAGTTGTGGGAAAACTTAACAACTTAGCTTTACCTGAATTTTCAATTTATATTTGAATTCACCATGATTTGCAGTCTAGTGAATAAACCTTAATATAAAACTGTATCTAAAAAGTAACTTTTTTTTTTTTTTTTAAACTAGATTTACATTTATTTTATAATTTATGTGGTTATATATAGCTTTGAACGTATGAACATTATTGGGTGTGGTTCCATCTGTATATAATTTACTGTTAACCCTATCGGTTTCTGTTCTCTCTTATAACCATTTCTATGCTTACAGATACACATCTGATTATTCACTAAATCAGCAATTCAGGGAAAATCGACAAGGAAATTGAAAAATGTAAGGTTAAGCCATATCACTATCCTAATTTTTTAACTATTTTATCCCTTATCTTCCTGCAGGATCTTAAAGGAATCCTGTCTAATAAAACATCAATCCAGTTCATCAGAACTGCTGCCCAGGGTTACAAACACTATCACCAAAGTAACAGTAACATGTAGCAGTTTACAATTCCAGAAAAACCACAGTAAGAGGTGGGACAGTTTCCTGAGGTACCTGCTATAAAATCTTCTGTTTATAGACTTGAAATCGGTTAAAGTGCTTGTTAGCCTACACCTGCTCTAATCCTGTATAAACATATTTTTATCTATAAAAAGTCTATAGACATATTTTTATGTAAAACATTCCAACAAATTCTGGAGGGCAGTAGCACTAGCACTTTTTTTTTTCAAGAATTAATTAACATTTTTGTCACATAATTGGGTGTCAGCTCCTTATTTAGTCTAGCCTGGCAAAACCAACCAATGCACAATACACTACCTTTCCTGCCTACAGCATAAAATGTTTTGACAGGTTTGGTAAGACCTCCCACTATAATACAAACTGAATTTAATTATTTTCCTTTTGTTGGAAATGGGAAAAAAAAACCTAAAACAACAAAGCCAAGATAACATAGCCAATCATGTCAAATTCAGAGTAAGAAATACAAATCTGTTCAATTATTTAGCTTTTGATTCCATCTAGAGGCTAATATGCAAAATTACAGGAAAATAGTTTCATAGTACTAGCTGTGTGTGTATAAGGGACATCTATCAACAAGCCTCTCTGTTTTTTTCTAGCTGTATTGCTGCTCACCTCTTTATACTTCATCCCTCCAAAACACAACTTCTCATCTTTCCTTCCTCGCAGCACTAATACCACCGTGTCTGTCTCCTACCTTGTAGGGTGCAAGGAACCTGGTTCTGCCAAAACCATTAACATCCAGGAAAACAAAAATGTTTCCCCTTGTTTAAATGTCTAAAGTGTACAAAGCAATGTTTTTTGACCACTTTGTCAAGTTTATATATACTGTTATTAAGGTTATATTTAAAATTTTAGTCCTTGCTTACAAATCAATTCTAAACAGTGCCCCTATCTTAACTAATAAAGACGTAATGTTCCATTCAGGGTCTTCTACTCTACTGTCCTCTGTCCCCAAATGCTGGCTTACCTCAAGGGTCTAAACCAGGGGTAGGCAACCTATGGCACGTGCGCCATGCACGGCACTCGATGTGTCTTTGCACGGCACTCGAGGCTGCTAGAGCCAAACAGGCTCTGGCCTATCAGGAGTCCCAGTGAAACGTAAGATATCTGCTAATACGAAAAGATGCTGAAGGACAATCCTCAATTTATGCATTGCAGCACGTAGAGGAATTGATCTCAGATCACTTCCTCTAGCACTTGTAAATGGGAATCCACACTGGAGTAGAGCAGCCCTTGGTAGCTATCGCAGCTTCTGCCCTTGACCTGTACCTGGCCAGCCTGTTCCCACAGGAACCCAGGGAAGCCACCCACACTGCTAGATATACACAGAGCTGCAGAATAACCCTCCGCTCATACAAATAATACGAACAGCCTACGCACAATCCGCACAAACTCAACACCACTGACAATCCATATACATGCACACAACCCCACATGCAGCCTCTCACAATGCAATACCCCAAACAGCCCCACACATGAACACACTACGAAACACACAATGTGGCATATCCATCCACACACACAATTCCACAAGCAGCCCCCATACACAGCCCACATTCATAGGTACACAATACCACAAACTACTTATGAACATATACAATATAATAGATAATATACGCACAAATACAACAATACAAAGCAACTGCAGTATAAATAACACAAGCAGAATACGGCAACATGCACACCTCAATTTAAAAAAATAGGACCGGCACGCTATGGGACATCACAATCTTATTTCGGCACAGTGCTGCTAAAAGGTTGCCTACCTCTGGACTAAACTGTTAATTAACTACTTAAGCCCAAGGATCCTTCTGCCCACGAACATCCATCACAGTTCCAGGCTTGAATCAGGAAGCCTCAAACAGAGACCCTGCATCACAATAATGTTTTTTACATCCATTTCTCAATCTGTTTGAATGTGGAGCTACTGACAAGGTGACACACCCAGTCTACCAGTGGTGTGCTTGTCTAAGGCTTTCTGTTTCAAGCCTTGGCTGCTGCAGAGTGTTTGCATGTCGGATTCAATACTTAGTGTTATACTGTATATTGATGATTAAAGGCCTTGAGTTAAGCTTGTTCCCGGAAAACTGTTGACTGCATAACAATCTCATTCAGTGAACCCAGTTCACTTCCACATCTCCGGCACTCCGAGTCAGCAATAGATAAATATTAATTAAAGTCTCTGGGGTCTGGTACCAGTGTGTGATCAATTTATATCCTGCCTCTTGGGTGCTAATGGACGTTTTGTGAGTGTAAAAATGTGTTTCCATTGGCCCTTTTTAGGGTGCTGCATACACTGCGTTCCCAGTACTTGGTGAACTAGGGAAGAGGGGAGTTAGCTGATGGAAAATCGAAGAACTTTCAACCTGATTGTATTACCTTCATTTGGATCAACAGCAAAAACGGATGCGAAAAAACCTGAACTTGATGCATGCTTGTCTCTTTTCATCCTGTGTAACTGTATAGTTTGAGAATATATGGGAGTCTGAAGCCATATGTGGCATGTAGGGTTAATAATTAGGTGATCATATGGTAGGGAGAAAATAGTCAAAGATTGAGGCTAGAGAAGGGAATAAAGGGGAAATAGTTCTCAAATGTCAACCAAGGTTTAGAGAGACCCAGAGTAGACTACTCCACTGCTTGTTTAGCCTTAATGATTATATTCTAAAGTAGCTAACCAAGGCAAGATTATAGAGCAAGGGTTCTCAATAGTTTTTTCCCGTGGAACCCTTGGACATAGTGTATCAACATTTCTTTTTTACTATACTGTAAACACATTAATTTCTACAGATAGTAAACAGATTGTAGTACTAAGCCCTCAATAAACAGCCTGTGGCTGCTCACTGTTAAAAAAAAAAAAAAAAACCCAAGTGTCCCCCCGTCCAATGCCTTAGCGGGGGCCCTAAAGTAGAATGAGGGGGGAACCTATTGTCTCTCCGCCAGCCCCCAGCCCTGAGCGGCGGGTGGGGGCCCTAAATACCAACGGGGGGGGGGACCTTGGGTTATTGTTGAGGAAGAGAGAGGGTTACTGGATTCATACCTTACAAACTATGCAGCCAAAGGGACTTAATGTTGATGTTTGATTTAGTTTGCTTTCTTTAGAGGGGTTTTTAATATTATTCTTAATTTTCTATAATATCATTATTATTTTTTATCATCACTATTATTTGTTATTATATTCTTTGTTATTATTATTATTTTTTGTTGTTAGTCAGCTAATTAATGTTATTTCTTTGGGTTATCACTTTGATTGGTTGAAGGTTGGGATAAAAGAAAGTTTATTATTGAGATCTCTGTAATTAATTAATATCTAAGATGTTGGAGATGATGTCTCTATAAATTCCCTTTGTAATTTTCTTCGTCTTTACGGTGGAACGCAAATTGCCGAATGGAACGCAAATCTGTGCGTCATCATGTCCGGCCTCAACTTGAAAACGAGACTTGAACCGCATTTCCGGGAGTGTGAATACACCGGAAGTACTCACCACAACGAACCCAGAAGTCTTCTGCTGATAGGTTCGGCTATCTTGCACGCCGAAATTGAAGGACTGTTGGAGAGTTTAAAGGAAGACTCAGAATGTGAGGACATTTATTCTGGCTAGAAGGAGGTTTTATTTTCCCCTGAGGAAGTTCAATTAGTTGAACGAAACGCGTAGGGCTATTTCCATCAGTGCAGAGTTTTATTTTTATTTTTTTTATTTTGTTTGTATTTTTATTTTGTTATATTTATTATTATTGCTGTTCTTTCCGGTGCTCCATTCTACTGGGATCCTGTGACTGAACTAACCTTATATGATCTGCCTGTACCTTACCTCTACTTTGTAAGTGCATTTTTACATTAAAAGTATTTATTTTTGTCAAGATACTCTGCACTATTATTCTTCTTCTTTCCTTCTCCATATTGGCCACGATGTCCTGCGAATTTAGAGTCTTCAACTATATTGATGATATGCCAACAATAAGTTTTGGTTTGTGAGTGCAATTACTACATTTACTTTCCACTTTATAAATTTTTACAACAGTATTGCACTATGTTTCTCTCTGTTATTATTGTATTGTAGATTCTTTCGTTTTCTGTACCATTTCAAGGACTGTGAGGAGTCCTTATCTACAGTACTTATAGTACAAGGGTAACTGTATTTAGGATTCTTCCTAACTGCTGCCCACTAAGTGTGTGTTCTATCCACGATTTGGT